CAACTAGGATAAGTGGGTATCTACTGTATTTCTCCATTTTCTCCATGTTTAGAATGGAATAGTCAACTTTAACAATTATAGTAATTATTAAAGTTCCTAGTAGAGAGTAGAATGTTAGTTACCACAGGCTGGAGGTGGGGGGTGGGGTTGACAGGGAGAGAGATGTTCGTCAAGGGTACAAAGTTACGGTTAGGAGGAATGAGGTCTGGAGTTCTGTTGCACAGCAAGGTAACTATAGTTAATAATAATGTGTTGTATATGTAAAAATAGCTAAAAGAGAGGATTTTAAATGTTTTTACCACAAAGAAATAATAAATATTTGAAGTGATGGATATGCTGATTACTCTGATTCAATCATCTACAATGTCTGCATGTATCAAAATATCACCTTGTACCCCATAAATATTTATATTATTATTTCTCGATTAAATATGAAATAAAACTAAAAAAATATATAAGGGACTCTTGCTGCACTATATGGGTAGATTTTGTTTTTTCTATCTAACATTTCTAATTCAAGATATGCCCAATTTTTTCTTATTGGCAGGTATGTAGAGATTGCTTTAAATTCCATCTATAATTGTCAGTTTTGAATACACATGAGAAGCAGGCTGCCACCGCTCCCAATCTCTAATAGTACTGATACTCGTACTAATACAATATAGTTTATCCAATTTGGGAAACATTCCATTATTAAGGTTTATTATTTAATTGCTAGAATTACTATAAAATAACAGCTACAAAATGTATAGTCTCTAATAAAAGACCATGTTCAAATCTACCAATAAAGAATAAGCTTAAATGTTGTCTGTCTGTTTCAGAATTTTAACTATTGAAATATTTGTCTTATAGAGATAAGTATGCTTAAATTCTGATTGTTTAAACTCTTGAACATGAACATGGATTGATTTGATCAAGTATGTCAGAGTTTTAATGTTGATCAACTGCACCAAGCTAGCTGAATAGAAAATACTGTGTAAAACTTACTGAGGTGTTTTAAATGACTAGTAGTTAAAAAAAAAAAAAACTATAAAGAAATGTAGATATCTGATATGATTACATGACTTCTTGTTTGTACACTTAACTCAAAACTGGTCTGATATTGACTTTAAGTCATTTATAGTTGAGTCAAAGTGTAAAATTAGTATAATTCCACTGTAAACTATTGTTTCACTATTCCACTAAACTAGTGTTGCTGAAAATGCCTTTCATTTTACATTTCTGTATTTCTTAAAATTCTACTCTACATCTGTATGAGGGGTCTTCAAAAAATTCATAGAAGGATTCATATTACTAATTCGATTTTTCTATGAACTTTTTGAAGTGCCCTTGTATTAATCTAAATTTTACCATATTATAGAAAATACTTATTTCAAGCCTTAGAAATGTTGTTTGTTGCCACTTTGTTCATACCATTTCAATTGATGTATCAATAACCCACAAATCAGTAAATCCAATAAGGACTACTCTCATTTAGCAATTCCGCTTACTCCTTTTTAATAAACTGGGCAATCAAGCTGACTTGGCATGTTCCAAAATATTTCAAATATAACCCAAATGAGAGAGATGTGATTTTTTTTGGAACTTTATTTTGGAGATTCTGGCATTATTAGCATTTTTCCTTATGTGTATTTAGATAGACAGAATTTAAGGTATATGCCTTAGTTTTAGCTTGTATAGGATAATGTTAGTGAATTCTTTTAGAGGGTGGAACAATTCTATTTCACAATTGTCTTTAAAGCTACAAAGACACTATTTTTTTCATGTAAAATCATTAGTACAGATAACTATACTTTCTAGAAAATAACTAAATAGACCCTTTCAAAGAAAAATGTACCCCATTGTATGGTTTTCGTGAGGTTGCTTGGAGAAACCTTACATCTGGACTGATTCCTAAAACATACCATCCCACCACTCTGCATCTTTTGGTTCAAAGTGTAGATTATTGTCATCAGTATCTCTTCCTGCATTCTTACATATTTGATAATACACATATAGACTGGCTTATCATTAAATGCTTCATTGACTCATCAGCCTTTTCTGCAGGTTCATCAGCAAGATGAACAGGCTGTGCCTTTCTCTGTAGTCTTTCTTCAAGATCTTCTAGGACTGGAGACATCATCATCATCATTATAGATCACAGAATCTCAGTCTTTACCAACAATTCAAATGGAAACGTTCTCTGCAGTTAGGCTCTGCTCTGCAGAATGTGTCTCGCTTAAGGCATGCAGACTATATTTCACCAGTTCATTCAAATTACATTCCATAAACTCAGACATAAGTCTCTCCAAGTAAACATGAACTGACTGAGAATGGGTTCCAATGGATATAGCTCTGCAATCAAAATAGTTAGCAGATGGACAGGTTTGGAAAATGTAAGGGATCGTATCCTCATAAGCAGCCAGACACCGTACGGTCTCCAGCCACATCGCCATGTTGGTATCTGGCTCTTGCTTCCAATTAGAGATACAGATGAGACACAGGAAGTGGTCTGTCAAATGCAAATCTGGAATCCACACATTCCTGGTGCATAAAATTACATAACAGTCCAGCATTAGCAGTAAGCACCACAATTGAGATACCAACATGATTATCAACATGGAGACTTTTTTCCTGATGAGCTGCAAGCTCTTGACTATACCCTCTTCAGTGCTACCAACACTGCATAGGTTTTCAGTTTCAGACCATCTGAACCATGTTTAACATCTTCCTTTGCATATTCAATTTGATGAATCCTGCCCTGAGGGCTCCAAATAGTGACATTATTGTCATACTGATTGTGAAACATGGGTCTGGGTATGGGCCTGGCTGTAGCCTCCTGCGAAGTTGCGAATCAAGGAGCGCTGCTGAAATTACCACTCAGCAATCTAGAGCAATATTAATAAATTTTATAAAAGAAAACCTTTATAAAATGTTAGTCAAAATATTGCTTGCGAAACTCTGGAGGAAAAAGTTCTGTATGAAATCATTGTCATTCACATTCAATAAAATGTACTTTGAGTGAATACATATGTTTAATATTTCTCTCTGCTTTATCTAAATAACTAGTGATTAAAGCCCCTAATCTAGCTATTAAGCTTTCAAATATAATTTAAAAACTAGATTTTATAAAATATAGTCTTTGCTGTTATTCACTGGCGATATCATATTTTTTTAAATAGGGGATCTATTTTACCTGTTTGGTACATGAAGTACAATGATTCACCTGCCTCCTCATTATTAGGGACACTTCCTCAGTGACCGGCCATTAAGAAACTTTTAAAGTTTACTTGCTAGGATTTTGTTGCTGTTTCTACTGTAAGAACAGTTGATGCCCAGGAAGGGTTAAAATGTTTTGTATCAACTGTTAAAGCATGGCCTCCTCAGAGGGTGAAGCCCACACACATGGACACCCTAGTATTCTGTCACTTGGTTACTTCCTTCAACTGGTTACTTCCCAACTGGTACTTTTTCTGTAACAGCAAATTACTAAGGAGGTTGTTTTCCTAGGTTGTCAATATATATTGCATACTAGTTGAACTGGAGTTTTGGGGGAGAAACAAAGGAATCAAAGGGGGTGCCTGTCCGCCAGAAGCTTATATTTTACTTAGAAAATAAGACATATAGATGAAAAATTGAGATAAAATTATAATAAACTAAGTGATTTAGGCTATTGTAATGGGAATTTATTGACTTGGAATAATTAAGACATTTATTAAAATTCCTTATAGAAAGATCAATTAAGATTTTTCCATATTCCAGTTAGGTTTTTAAATCTTGGCTATCAAATTTAAATTGAAAGCCTCTTGAAAAGGGGTTGCACTCTTTTACTCACTTATGGCATTTAATCCCCATAACAACCCACCCAATAAAATAGGTATTGTTGTTATTCCATTTTAACAATGAGGAGACCGAGACTGATAGAAGTTAAATCTAGTCTCAGAGCTACTGATTGGCCTGTCTGGTTGGAACTTTGATCTGATTCTTCCTTGTAACCATACGATTTACTATACCGTTTCCCCACATTGCTATGTCTTTTATTGCATCATTCAGTTAGTATTTACTGTTTTACTCTGGAACTGATCATTTTATAAAGAGAGTTTATTACAGCATTTTAACCAGATCAGAAATTCTTTAATTGTGAGATCTATCTGGGAGACTTAATGATTAACTAAAAAAAAGGTTATTATCAGTTTTTAAAGACTCATCATTTAATTTTATTGTTTTATTAAAATGAAACTGCAAAAATATTGGCCTATCAAAAGACTGAACAGAGAAGTGACTTCCTGGTTAGTTGCAGGATAATAATTTCCCACCCCAGTGGTTAATGTTAACTTTTAGCATTCTTTTCTTTTGTTTTTTTGTTTTTTTTCTAGCTTAGAATCAACACAATAAAATGTACTTTCTCACTTTTCATTTTTAGCTGGATAGTCTTTAAAAATAAGCATTCATTACTAAATGTATGTGGTGATTGTAGTTTTTTTAAAAAAATTGGGCATAAAATAAAACAAAGGGGAATATATAAAAATTATAATTGTTGTGTTTTTTAATGCCCATTCATTTGCAAAAGAATTAAAGCTGACTGGTTGATGAATGATGCCCCCTTGTTCATTTTCTGAGTTTTTAAAATACTTCCATATTAAAAATTTTTTTTTGTGATTGGTATGGGTTAAAAAATCTGATGTGGAGTCTTCACATTCAGTAAAATGTACTTTGAGTGAATACATATGTTTAATATTTCTCTCTGCTTTATCTAAATAACTAGTGATTAAACACTTTAATCTAGCTATTAAGCTTTCAAATATAATTTAAAAACTAGATTTTATAAAATATAGTCTTTGCTGTTATTCACTGGTGATATCATATTTTTTTGACCAGTAATGTGAATTTTTAAAACTAATGGTTTTTAAAAATTGGTTCTTTCAAAATTAGATATTCTCTGTTAGTTGGTTTATATAATCAGTAATTGTGTACTTACACACACACACACAAACTGATTTGTCATTATTTTTACTTTACAGGAGCCATCCAGAACAGTTTCAGGCAGATGCAAAAGGTAAGAATTCTTATGTTATGACTTACAACATATTGTAGACATGAGTGTAATGTCTGTCTGACCATGACTTAACTAGAATTGATTAAAGTAACTTTTTGAAAGGTAAGAAACCTTAATAGCGTGCTCTTAAAAAGAAATTACATTGTAGGTAGAAGTATAATGTCTGTCTGACCATGGCTTATTCTGACCTATCCTGCTGACTTTGAAAACTGCTCAGACCATGAATTTGCATAGATCTGATGAAATTTGTAAAACAAAAACTTACTTTCTCTCATGTATTTACACATTGAAAATGCAAGTAGTCTACTTGTATTAGCTTGGGTTGCCATAACAAAATACCATATACTGGGTGGCTTAAACAACAAATTTATTTTCTCACAGTTCCTGAGGCTGGAAGTCCAAGATCATGGTGCCACCATGGTTAGTTTCTGGTGAGGACTTTCTTCCTGGCTTGCAGGTGGCCACTTTCTCACTGTGTTCTTGTATGGCAGAGAGAAAGGGGAGGAGGCTAACCTCTCTGATGTCCTTTTTTATAAGGGCACTAAACCATCATGAGGACTCCACCCTCATGACCTCATCTAAACCTAATTACCTCCCAAAGGCCCTGTCTCTAAATACCATCACATTGGGGTTTAGGGCTTCAACATTTGAATTCTGGGGGGACACAGTTCAGTTCATTGTACCAGCTCAGCACAGTGAGTAACACTTCTGCCAGAGAATGTTTGTGTTGTACATGCATATGAAGAAAATCAGAATTGGGTATGAGAAATTGTTCAGTGGAGGTGCCTGGGGTGTTAACTTCCTTCTTCCATGTTGAGTCCATAAAGGTTGCAGAAGCAGGTGGTCATACTTGAGCTAATAATTTTAGAATAATGGTAAATCCGGAGTGTTTTACATAGAGATCTCATTCAATTCTCATAGTTATCTTATAAGGTAGGCACAATTTTTACTTTCATTTTATATATGAGGGAAGTGGGGTTAAAGAAGTAGAATGGAATTTACTTCTTTCCCTGGAATTACAAACCTAGTCAACAGCAGAATATGAATTTAATCTCAGGCAGCCTGACTCTATAACCCACATGCTTACTAACTACGTAAGACCGTCTGCCCAGATTTGTACATGTGAGTATAATACCTTTGTTTTTATCTATTTGTATGTTAAAGTTAAAAATATTTTGGTTATTTAACAGGAACTCTTAATTTTAATGTGAACTTATATGTAAAGTATTTTACCATGGGCCATAGTACCTATTAGCAATAAAAAGAGATAAGAAGACCAAGTAAACAGAAATTGAACAGTAGGTCAAGCATGAGTGTGCGCACACACGCACACACAAACACAAACACTCAGTATATTTGCTATTGCTTTTATTTTCATTTCTGAGTAATTTTGATACAGGTATGATGAAGCCTGTCATTGTTTTAAGCTTCTTTTATACTTGTCCATTGCTTGGTAAGTTTCACTCACAATGAATAGTTTAAACGGAAAATAATTATTTTTCTTTTTCCAGAAATCATTGCCAAAAACCCTTATTTGGCTTATTCCCAGAACAGATTCTCAAACCAAAAAACAAATTTTATCAGTTTTTGGTTTGGGAAATAAAAATAAACTTTGGTAAATTACCGAATTTTTTGTATCAGTTGTATGTATTTACTTCTTATTAAATGATAGAGTCTTAAATTATGAAAGGCTTTTTTCAGATTTGTGTTCTTTATTTAGAATCAATGGGGAATAATTTTCTTATGAATCCTTATCAAAAGTTTTATTTACATGTCATTGTATTAAATCAAGAAGAAAATTCTTTCCCATGGCATACCTTTGTATTTTTAAGCTTTTGAGACCGTTACTTTATGTGATTTATTCTTATATTTGTGCTTTTATTTTCATAGCCTAGAGCATGTGGTTTGTTACTTTTCAACTTTCAGAGGTTTAGGTCTGTTTAATACTGTTATAAATATTTTTAAGTTTCTAGTCATTTTTTACTTAGTCACAGCAAGTCTGCTTAATAGCATCTAAAAGTTAAAAAAAAAAAGACAAAAATTAAAAAAACCCCCACATAACCAAGAATCTGTGTGTGAAATTACCCATTCCCTATCTAGTAGGAACATGTTAAACTTTATATCAACAGTTCATTACTTTGATTAATCTGTCAGCAAGTTGTAGCATGACTAGAGAATGGATGTTTCTTGGTAAGTCTGCTGACTAATGGAGATGAAAAAAGGAGAACTGGGCTAAAAGATAGAAACCTGGCATCATACGTTAGAAAATATTTTGGGTAAACCAAATAACTTATGATATATATATAGCTGGAAGTCATTAGAGGGTTCAGACACCCAGAAGTCTAGTTTGTATGTATGTTCTTATAAATGGTGAATAAAATATTTTAATTTTTCTTACAAATATCAAGAATGTACTTTTTAAAAATTGAGTCTGTTAAGCACTCAATCTAGTTATGCTATATTTTAAAAATTGAATTGGCTTTTGTTTATCCAGAACATCTCATACATATTTACTGTTTTCCTTTTTAAAAAGTGTTTAAATAACTTAGGGGAACTATTTGGAGGTGGGGGTCATGACATTTCTGAAACTTAACATTTAGGAAAGATGAATCAATGTCATGTATATGTTTTTTTTTCTTTTTTAATGTGCAGTTTTCTAAGCTGAATGTTTACTTGGTTAAGTTTATAGTACATTGGTTAAAATTTTTTAAAAAAGGAGAAGAAAAGGCAAGACAGTTCCTAAATACTTGTAAAGGGCAGGATTAGCCAGAGTATGTAATTTACCGTTCGTATTTAAGCATGTAATTCAACCATTAGGAATGGCCCTGATTAAAAACAGGAAACAAGTTAAGACAAATATTGTTTTATTATTTTCACATAGTAATTTACTGGTTTTTTGTTTTTTAGCATGAATTATTATATTAAATAACACTTATGCAAAGTAATAAGTGCTTCTCAGAATACCCTACCTCCCCCCAAGTAACATTAATAAGATTAATAGTTTATAAAGTACCTTCACATACATTACCCAACAGTAGCACCATCCCAGATGAAGAAAAAGACTTTAGTTCAGTGAACACTTTTACCACGTTCCCTCTGAGCAGAAAATGAGTTACAAGAGAGGAGAGATATTACTAGTTATTGTTTTTACAAAGAGCACGGACACATCATGATATAAATGTTAGAAAGAATTAACCTTCAAAATGATGCAAACCCTATTTCAAATCTGCAGTGTTTCACATTACTATTTTATTTGAATAAAATGTAACCATGATCCTTTTTCTTAAGGGTCAGCATTTTCTTCCAAAGTCATTTCTGCTACAATTCTTGTTTTGAAAAAGCAAATTTGTCCCAATTGATATATTAGGGAACAATTTCACCATAAGTCATATTTCACATTTTCTTATGCACAGATTTGTTCATAAGAACCAATAGGTGAATGTAGAAAACCTAGCTCCACCAAGCTAGGTAGGAATATACAAAATGCACTCAGGCACACACCATAAACATGTACCAACTACTTCAGTATGAGCCACAGCCTTCCTTCCATGAGTGGTGTTACAGTTTCCAGTCTGATTTCAGATAACCCTCCTTCTTATACTTCACAACAACTCCCATGCTGCAGCTCTTCTGATGCCAACTTCCATGGCAAACTTCGCTTCTTTTTCAAGATAAAATGCTGTGTTTATGTATTTCTTAACCATTTAACATGTGTAAATGGTGCTAACATTTTTAATTAGGTTCCTGTCTTTTTTCTTTAATGTGTCACTGTATTAGTCCATTTCCATTGCTTATAACAGAAAAAATACTTGAAACTGGGTGATTTGCAAAGAAACAATATCTACTGCTTTTAGTTTTGGAGGCTGGGAAGTCAAAGGCCAGGAAACACATCTGGTGAGGGCCTTCCTTGGTGGTGACTTCAGCGACTCAGGGTATCACATTGTGAGAAAGGTAGAAGCAAGAGAAAAAGCTAGCCTCCTCACTGGCTGGCCTTTTAAAGCCCTCAGAACCATGCCCACGACCACCATTAAACCATTAATGGATTAATCCATTTACTAGGGCATGGTCCTCACAATCTAATGACCTATTCAAGGCCCCACCTACCATAATAGGATTTCCCACCTTCAACAGTTACAGTGGGGATTAAGCTTCAGTGAGTTTGGGGGGACATTCAGTCCACAGCAGTAACTGAAGAAGTTTTTGCGTGTTGTGCCCCTAGCTCAATATTCTCTGTAATCCCTATGTTTTTATTGAGTGATTTTGTGTAGCACAGTGATTTTTAGAAACACATATGTCACATCGTAGCAGAACTGAATCTGGGTAGATGGTTTGATGAACTTAATTTTTACCATTGTTTAAATGGTAAGATGTTTGCATAACATACATGCATTTATTTTGAGGCACTGTGTGAACAAATACTCTAAGCATACAGATTTCGTAATATGGAAAAGACATTTGGGGGTAAATCAAAACTAATGATGTCCTCAGATAACACTGCATAGGTTATTTCCCACTCTGCTCCTATCTAAGCCAATAATCAAATTAGTGTTAACATGTAGGTATGTGAAGCAAAGTGAGGGTTAAGCTGAGACACCACTGAGTGGAAAAATTAAATGCAGGGTGATGAAGTTTGGATGTGTTGTCCCCTCCAAGACTCATGTGGAAGTTTGATCCCCAATGTGGCAGTGTTGGAAAGTGATTGAGTCATGGGGGCGGATCCCTCATGAATGGATTAATGCTCTCCTTGGGGGAGGGGGGATAAATGAGTGAGTTCCTGCTCTATTAGTTCCTGTAAGAGCTTGTTGTTTAAAAGACCCTGGCACCTCCTCTGTCTCTCTTGCTTCCTCTCACTGTGTGATCTGCCTGTACCCGCTGGCTGCCTGCCGCTTTCCGCCATGAGTAGAAGCAGCCTGAGGCCCGTGCCAGATGTAGCTGTCCTAGAATCATAAGCCAAATAAACCTCTTTTCCTTATAAATTACCCAGTCTCAGGTATTTCTGT